TCTGTAGCATCGACAATGATCGTGAAATACTTTGGGTAGATTTTTCATTCCAAATTTTGGAGCGCCATTAGGCTACTCTTTTCGATTTCCAACTGCCAAATACTTCGGCGTCCGATCTCACTACCCAGAGACCAGGGGGAATTACTAGAAGTCTGTCGACTTGAAATAAATCGCAGGCCTTACCGGGGATTGAACCCGGAAACTCTAGTACTCGAGGCGGAAACTATGCCTCGGGATCACGCAGTCCCCACCCCCCCCCCACCCGAATCGGAATTTGATGTCGAGAAACAATCGCAACTAAAAGTAAACAGAGTACTTGATGATGATGGCCACCATAGGTAAAGGTGAAGGTAAAGGTGAGAGGATCGACATCATTGCAGCTTGATCCCATATGGCTCAGTCTCTTTCCGCAGAACAGCTAGCTGCCAGCGTCGTATAGAACACGACCTCCGTAGCTCCGACGACGATCCACAGGGGTCTCCGAAAATTGCACTCGTGAATTGAACAGTGTCGTTGTGATACGAACTCAGAACCTCCATACAGAGCGCATGGCAAACGACCTGACCACTTTGCCACGGAGACCCTTGATGATCACTATAACACAATGAAAAATAAACCACTAACTGTGATTAGTGATTAGAAAGGACTATCATCACAGCACTCCGGAGGGATCCATAGGTGTCCCTATCTCCTCTTCAAAAGCTCCACAAGTGTAAAACGACTGATGACGCCTGTTCTGTGTTGGTTAATGAAACGTCTTGTCCCCTTAGTGAAATGTTCATTTCTTGCAGCTCCAGTCTGCACCCTTATGTCCATCAGTCTAGACAGAGATACGGAGTCATGTCTTTTAGCGTGCTCCTCGGTATGGTAAGTGCAGCGCATTGCATTGATAACATCACTTCTGTCCAGTACTGGACCAGCCATAGCAACCTGCAGTGTCAGCAAGATAGTCTGCACGCTCGTTTCCTTGAACACAGAAAGACAAGCAGATAGACAAATAGATAGATAGACAAATAGACAAACAGAAGGATAGAGAGGCCAGCGGGCAGACACCGACAAACAAATAAGTAGACAGAACAGACAGACAGATACTTACTAACATCACACCTAGGGCCCGACCAACCTGCCCTGCAAGACCGGTTGCTACAGTACCCGGTGACCGTGTGACATGCACGACTGAGACAGTGACCACACTTGTACTGGCAGTTGGGACCCCAGTACCCAGGCATACATTCTGTGGAGGATTGCAGAAGACAGTAGGGAAATATAAATATATGTGATGTGAAGGCATACATATACAGTTCAGTGTATAGCTAATTTAAGACTTACTATCATGTAACGGGCGTCCTTGGCTTCGGCGTTGCGAGTCCGACTCGTAATTCCAACATACCGCGATTGAAACCCACTGCTGGCTGCGTGGATTTTTATCATGGTACGGGGCGTTGCAGGTCGATCCAGCCTAAAATGGGCACCAGGATGTCTGTCCTGGGGAAGGAGAGACCACCGGCGTAATGCTGATCACATTACCCACCTAGTGCCGAATGGTCTGTAAAAATATGGGTGCTCTTCCCATAAGCCCGATGCGCCCAAAGGCGTGAAAAGGGATCTTTACCCTCACTTACTTTTATCATGTAACGGGTTCTTTGCAGAACGTCACTGTTTATTCCACTTTTATACTGTTGCGTGCTGATTTGGGAGAGTGTAATATTGTGAAGGGACAGAGTGGTATGATAGTACTTTCTGTGAGTTCACGGGAAATAGTGTCAACATTGGCCCGAGTATCGAGGGGGGAGAGAATGTTGACCAGTGAAAATGTATTATCATGAACGAGGCAAGCACGCACGAGAAAGAAGACGCGTGAGTTTACTGTTTCGGGGTTGGCAAGCATGGATAACGAGAACCACAGAGAAACGGTGTATTACGTGACAGCGTGATTCTCATGTAACATGAGCCACTCACATAAGTGTCATCCTCGAGAACGCTTCCTTGAGCGTGAGTCTCGAGAGCACTAACTTGAGCATGTTTCCCGAGACCGCCCACACGAGCGTGCCTCTCGTGTAACCTACATGAGTTTGACAGAGAGACAGTCCGAGTCAGTGAGCTGTAGCCATAGGGGAAGTGCGGGTTAGTACACACACAGCACGAGAGTGCGAGTCAGAGTCCGAGAGTCAGAGCCAGAGAGAGCGAGAGAGAGAGAGAGAAAGAGAGAGAGACCAAGTCAGGGTCAGTGATTATCTCTCTCGAGTATAACAGAATACCGTACAACTATCAGGCATTAAGGTCTGAGTAAGTGCTGTGGCATGGAGTGCAGACAGAGTACCGTACAACTATCAGGCATCGAGGTTTGAGTAAGGGTTGAGGTTGCGGTACTGGTCGAAGGTATAGTCCCGCTGGCGAAGTAAGTTCAAGGGGATGGGATGCTCCAATAGTACCTGTTCTGGGTGACGACGCGAGGAGACGTAGGGTCACTATGGAAACAGAACAGGGTGGGATGCCGACGAGAGCTGTGTGCTATAGGGGGTCTTGTGTTAGAAGTCTTGTCGATCATCGGGGCCCTTTGACAGCCTGAGTGCTGTGTGCTTTTGGAGAACGGCAAGGGAAGTCCGTCTCCAGTCAGCCGTGATTGTCTGATTAAATAATATTAAGGTCCAGTGGATAGGAGAATTCGTCCCATTCAGCTGTACGGCGTGCCCAGAGTTGTGGGACGCTGTAGGCCTTTGGAGCTGTAGTGGTCAGGGAGATGTCGCTACAAGTTGAGAGAGAGAGAGAGAGAGAGAGAGAGAGAGAGAGAGAGAGAGAGAGAGAGAGAGAGAGAGAGAGAGAGAGAGAGAGAGAGCGAGTGAGGACTATATGGACTATGTGCGAATGTCAGTTGAGATCAATGTCTACGTCTCTGCAGTTTTGTTGATATGAAGGGCTTATGTATACCCTCGTGTGTCCTGTCGAATAAATATGCTGCGTGACGGAACTACTGTCGCCGAGTCCTGCTTTGAGTGAGAGGGAGCGAAAGTTGTACCTGCTGGACACTTGGTAGTGTGCTGATTAGTGTATAACTCAGATAGCACACAACACATACCCAAGATCACATCGGTGACGGGGTCACCCGTTGGCTCGCCAGTAGACAACTTAGTCAGCTGTGGGGGGACAGTATTTGGGTCTGTCTCCTTTGTTTTCACAACATTGCTGGCGTCTTTTCCGGGCTCTTGGTGGCGTACAGTGCTAAGTCATTTTATATGGCGCACATAACCTGGTCACAATTATAACTTAAATACAATAGCCTTTCGGGGATGCTGGCTGGCTCCCAACATGAACCCACTTCCGGCTCTATTTATAGTCCTTACAGCTAATCACGTGACTTTATAAGGCAGGGGCCGTTGGTCGGAGCGTAAATCAAGACGGCAGAGCCATGTGTTGTGTGGCATTTTATTGTTCCTGCAAAGTTTTCTGTTCTGAATGTATTCGTACTTCAAATCGACAAGCTAAAATCAGACGTGGAGCACCATATATATATTATATATATATTATATATATATATATATATATATATATATATATATATATATATATATATATAGATCTATATAGATCACCTCATCGAGAACACACAGAAGCCAAAAAGAATGTGACCGAAAGAAAAAAAAAAAGGATCGAATACGATATTCTATCTTCGAATCAAACTCACATCACTTAGCAGATACCTGATCAGATTGCGCACCACAATCACTCTTGTGTCTATATTTTCTAACATTCAAACGAGACCGCCTCAAATAATCGTTCGAGTGTCCATCTTTCAAAGATGTCAGGAAATTGCTGCCTGCCCAGCAAATCCAGATTATAGGAACACATACACAAGAATACAATGAGATTGGAAAATGCACACGTATCACTTGTATCACTACATGTCATTAGAAAGAAATGATTGATTTTTTTTTTACATAACTAGGACATCACATCAAACGATAAACACCTGGTGACACCAAGTGCCACCATGCGGATGAAGATTACCCGTGGAGAGGTCTCTGAAACCACGTTTAACCGTTAGGTTATATTACGGCCCCCGGCAACAGCCAGGGCGGGGCTTCAGAATAACCAAAAATTGCATCCCACAAGGGGGTGAAGAATAGGGTATTGTTATACACTGCAGAAAAGCCATCTAGGGCCAGGGAATGGATAATAATAGCATATGTTTTTTCCGTGTGAAGTGTACAATCTGTAATCTCTTGTATATCTTCCTGACATTCGTCTTATCTAATTAACTTTTCTTGATCTGTTTCGCTTGTTGTTCCTGTATCTGAGTGTGCTCAACTTCTCTATAATACTCGCTTTTTTGCTATTATCTGAACGCTTTACTTTCTCTGAATCTGTATGAGCACTTTCAAAGTTGTCCCCCCTTTGTTTTTCTCTCTTACCCTCATATATTTCTGGCATCGTTTCTTTCTATGTCATAATTTTTTTTCTTCAACAAAATCATCTGTACCACGCGTTAATTGATTTCAAAAAAGGTCTTTAATAGAGTATGGAATGCAGCACTCTGGGATAGTATGAACAAGTACAATATGGATAAAACCCTCAATCGTAGTACCCAAAAACTTTATGTGAAAGGGGGCTGGTTTTAAACAACAGTAGGAGTTGCCTTCTCTCTCCAACTCCGTTTAATATCTTCTTAGAAAGAATTATGACTAACATCCTTGTCACAACCCTATTTACAGTCAGTGTACCACACCGTAAGGTGGGCGTGTTGAGGTGACACCCCAGGGTTGACACAAAGGTCAGGGCAGTGACTGGTCAAGTCCGTTCTGTGATCGCACGGCGAAACCAGCGCTCAGAATAAAGCAAGAAAGACTGAACTGTGTTGTGGACAAACACGATGACTGCTTTTGGGACTGAGCTGGTGAACGGGGTCAAGAGACACGAGGTAGAGAGGACAGGAGATTCGGTGTGCGTCGGTCAGGAAGAGAGGACGTTTAGGAAGACAGTTATAATATTAAAGTTAGGATATA